ATAAGATTTGTCCATTCATTTAGGTTCTTTCAGGTTCATTCATTCAGGTTGAAGCTTCCGGAGGAGTTCATCGTGGAAGATCAGAATGGTTGTGATGTCACGCTACGTTCGTTCATTCAGTGTCAAAGGATGAACGCCTGGCTGGGGTTCGTTTTACGGTTTCTTTGCGGTTCCTTTCTTTGCCAGTTGGCTGGCTTTTCCGGCTAGAGGGTTTCACCGCGGCTCGTTTTTTAATTTTCATTTAAATAATTTAAATAAAATTTTTTTATTTTATTCATTTCATTCAGAGGTTCATCATGAAAGATGTCAGGCTACGTTCGTTCATTCAGTGGCAAAGAACACACACCTGGCTGGGATACGTTTTATTCTTTTTTCTCTATTTTTTTCTGCAATTTAACATTAAGTAAGAATGCTCACACGCACAAACACACACACGCAATTACATTAAGTAGCTATATAGGTAGGTTAGATAGGCATAATTTTAATTGTAGGTAGGATAGATAGGAAGCATCCAACACTAATGTAATTGAATAGGTAGGCGCGTAAGTTTATCTTTTCTATTTTTTCTTGCACTCACATTACACGCATCAGCGTATTACTCACACACACACACAAATACATACATAAACACATATATTAGTATTTGAGCGTAATTTTATTTTCATTACACATTCTAATTTATTATTACTAAGGTTGAGAGTAATTTAATTTTATAGGTAATTAAAGGCAATAATGTAATTCTAGGAACAATCTTGTAATGTAAATTAAAACGCTGTAAGTGTATCGATAGGTAGGCTAATATAAGTTTTACATTATTATTATTATGTTGGAGCCCAAGGCATTACGTAGGTGGTGGGGTGGGCGCCGATTGGCTAAATGAATTGGGCTCTTGAGTTTTGTAATTTTAGGTAAGCTCGGACCGTAATGTAATGAATAGGTAAGTTAAGGCTACGTTGTAACACATACTCATTAATAGATTTAGGGTTTAAGTTTTATATTATTATTACTAAGTTGGAGCCCAAGGCATTACGTAGGTGGTGGGGTGGGTGCCGATTGGCTAAATGAATTGGGCTCTTGAGTTTTGTAATTTTAGGTAAGCTAGGGCCGTAATGTAATGAATAGGTAGGTTGAGGGTACGATAGCCGATTGACTCTGGATTTCAAAGTCTCTTGTCAGAGGTAAGCCTTGGTGGCCAGTGGTGGACCGGCAATGGTTTACTATCCGGACGGCAATGGTTTACTATCTGCACGGTAATGATTTACCATGCGGCATGGCCATAGTCTACTACCCGCACGGCTTCCGGACGGCAAATGGTTTACTATCCGCACGGCAATAGTCTACTATCCGCACGGCAATGGTTTTCTATCCGGTGCCCTGGCTGTCGGTGAACCTCTGTGCAAGGAGGGAGAATGAAGGGGACATTCGACTATTGTACCATTAATAATTTAATATAGATTAGTTAAGGTAATTGAATAGGTAGATAGGATTATTTTTATTAAGCAATTTGAGATGCAGGCACCGCTAAGCTTTCTGATGAGAATCTTCTCTATCTTTCTTCTTCAATACGGGCTGTGTTTCAACAACAATCTCGAGGAGGACTGGCATCAGCTTTGGAGGACAACGTAGGAACCGGAAAGCATTCAACATTCTGCCTTTTTCAAATGGACGACGGTGAATTTTTTTACATTTTACTCTCTTTATTATTTTAAAATATTATTTATTTGCCATTATTTTCATTTTATAATTTTTTGCTTCTAAGATTTTAACATTCATTTACTACTACGCTAATAAAAAATTTTGTCTACAGAATGATGAGAGGTGGGCAGTGGTGGGAGTCAACACGTTTCAGATGGTGGTTTCATGATGATTTACATATAATATGATGATGGTGGTGTAGGAAGAATCAGCTCGTTGGCTGTTCGACTGACACTCTGCAGTTCGGATGACATCTTTGTGCCGACCAGATGAAGTTGGTCGGTGCAATGGAGTACAGTAACGACGATTTTTGAAGTAAGATTTAGTTTCGTTTTTTTTATTTTTTATTTTTCACTATTCATTCATTTTCTCACTCAACCTTCTAAATTATTTAATTGACTAATTGATTCATTCTATTTATTTGTTGATTTATTGATTGATTAATTAATTAATTTCATTTTATCTATCAACCAATCATTTATTCGTTTGTTCCTTCGTTCGAACATTCATTTACTACTATGTTAATAAAAAATTTTGTCAACAGAATGATGAGAGGTGGGCAGTGGTGGGTGTCAGCACGTTTCAGATGGTGGTTTCATGATTTTGCATATGATGATGGTGGTGTAGGAAGAATCAGCTCGTTGGCTGTTCGACTGACACTGCAGTTCGGATGACATCTTTGTGTCGACCAAATGATGGTGGTCGGTGCAATAGATTACAGTAACGACGATTTTTGAAGTAAGGTTTAGTTTCGTTTTTTTTTAATTTTTCTCATTCATTCATTTTTTCACTCAATCTTTCAAATTATTCATCCATTAATTGATTAATTTATTCATTCTATTCATTCATTGATTCATTGAATCATTGATTGATTGATGAATTAATTCATTCATTCACTCAATCATTCGCTCAATCATTTATTCGTTTGTTCTTTCGTTCTAACATTCATTTACTACTAAGCCAATAAAAAAATTTGTCTACAGAATGATCAGAGGTGGGTTGTGGCGGGAGTCAGCACGTTTCATGATGGTGGTCTCACGGTAAGATAAGTTGCCTATTACTTTTTTCCAATGGCTTGTTTTTTATTTTAAGAATTAACTTTTTTTTCAATTTTGTTTTTCAGTATCCAGTCATATTCATTCCGTCGGTGCGTATCAGATGATGGTCGGTGCAATGGAGTTTCGTCCGTAGTGGGTGAAGAAGTTTCTGGAGAGTACGCGCGCGCAAATTTACACACACATCAATACAACAAATACATACACAACATCCATTCATTCGGTGTCGTTGTTGTTATGTTTCTCTTCAACTTTCTATTTTCTCTACCGGACTTAATTTAATTCATAGGTAAGTTAGGGATTGAGATGAGTTGAACAATCGTAGGTAGGCTAGGGCTTAACATTATTAAAAAGTTTCAAGTAAAATAAAAACGTTAAAATATGTAAAATAAAATACCTGAAACGTGTAAAATTTCTAAAACGTAGAAATACAAATTTGTAAGTAAGTAGATGAGTTGAGTTATTCATTATAGGTAAGCTAGGGCCCTGAGAGTAATTTAATTGTAGGTAGGTGACTGACTACTATCCTCACAACTTTTTACTATTTTTTTTGTTATGTGTTTGTTTTCGCTTCACACCACCACACCAACAAAACAATTATTTTTTAAAAATTTTACCTTTTCGAACAATCTTTTTAATAATGGCTGTTTATTTGTGAATTGTTCACTGGTTTCTAGTTATTTTTTATTTCGGTTACATAATTTTTGGATATTTCTTGATTTACTTTGTACATATGTTTTTTTTTTTTGTTATGTGTTTGTTTTCATTTCACGCCAATGTCACCAGAGCGAAGGGCAATTAGTAGAAATGTTTCTAATGTATGCGTGTATGTATGGGTAGAGTACCTATGTTTATTTTTATATGTGGGTTATATTATGGGTTTTATATATATATATATATATATATATATATATAGAGAGAGAGAGAGAGAGAGAGAGAGAGAGGGAGGGAGAAAAAGAGAGAGAGAGATGAAGAGAGAGAGAGAGAGAGAAAGAAGATACTTTTTACCTTGATTTCCAACTCTATGCTATTGTTTATTAAAGTTCACCTTTAGTTAGTTGCTATAGCAACGAGTGTTTAAACATTAAAATAAATGACATTTTCTTGGAAATATGTTAAAAAAGTGAGTCGAGTATCTTATTTGCTGAACATTTTGTATTTATTTCATTTAATTATATAATTATTTTTGCGATTTACAAGTAAAAAAGAACAATTGTAAAGAAATCTTTAGTTATGTGATTATGATTATTTATTTTAATTATAAAAATTTATAAATTATATAATTGAGTCATACATAATATGTGAAAAGTCGGCTTGTTTCTAACTAAGCTCAGGTCTTAGTTTAACAATTAAACTTTAATTTATCACACACTTTCTAGTCAATTTTTAAAATTCCGATATAATTTTATTGCCTATTTTTATTTCTAAATAAATTGAATTTCAAAAAAATCAGTCAAGAAGAACCAAAGTATGGAAGCGAAAAATGGATAGACGGATTTTATGATCCGACAACCAGGATCCAGACCATGTCCCAATGCATGGTCCTATCAGACATCTACAAGGATGACGATTTCAAATTGGTGCTGGCCGATTTTGGGGACTTTTTTTCGTCAAATCCAGCCGTCGTAAATAATATTGGTGCGCTAGATGGCAGGAAAAATGATAAAGTTAAATTAAAAGTTTTCAAAGGTAGTCGGCTCGTCGTTCATTCATTCTTTCGCTTATTCATTCATTCATTCATTCATTCATTCATTCATTCATTCATTCATTCATTCATTCATTCATTCATTCATTCATTCATTCATTCATTCATTCATTCATTCATTCCATTCATTCATTCGTGCATTCATTCATTAACATTTTTATAATAATGAAATATGCATTTATATCACAACAACAATAATATTTACAAAAACAACAACATTAACAACAACATTAATAACCTTCTTTCAGGCTTAGCAATGATAAACGAAGTGTGTATCAATGATATACCATCATCTATCGTTACTATCGCCGTTGATACCCTAGTGCCATCCATCCCTGGTTATGATGATGATGATGATGATGATGATGATGATGATGCAATAGTAATAATTATGGTAATAATGAATATTCATTCGATCAAAAAATAGCTCTGGCCATTAGCTCGAGCTGTTACGTGTATATTTACAAAAACATGAAACCATACTTCCGGTTCACCCTACCCTGTTCACCCCTCTGCCCGGAAGAGGAAAAGGCCTGGAGGGATTATCAAAATGTCGGTATATGGCAGACGCTTGTTATCGTTGATATTTAATTCTTTTTTTGGGGAGGGCGGTGTCTTGCCGGATTTTCGTAGCATTTAGGTAATGTTATTTTCACTCGAGTTCCGTCTGGAGGTCTTGGCGGTTTTTTGTACATTTTTTAAATGGTTTTATTAATTATGCAGAATAAAATATACCGTAATTATGTTTATTAATTTTTTTATTTTAGAAAATTACGAGAAAAATAATTCTTTCTTTTCTTTTAATTCTGCCCTCCTAGGAGCATATAAAACTATCAGAGTTGGTGGTGGCGTTGGACAATATCAGAGGCTTCGGTAGGTGGTGCTTGAATAATAGTAATAATGTAATTAGCTGGTTCACAGATTGATTGGTTGGTTGGTTGAATGGTTGGTTGGTTGGATGGTTAATTGGTTGGATGGATGGCTGGCTGGATGGTTGGTTGGATGGTTGAATGGTTGGTTAGTTGGTTGGTTGGTTGGTTAGTTGGTTAGTTGGTTGGTTAGATGGATGGTTTGTTGGTTGATTGATTAGATGATTGGATGGTTGGTTGAATGGTTGATTGGATGGTCGATTGGTTGATTGGTTGATTAATTGGTTGAAGGTCGATTAAATGAGATGACACAGAAAAGTGTAAAGTTTTTACAACTGTCAACCAATGAAGAGAGGTTGAATTTCATCGACCAATACAAAGAAGTTCCCCTTGTCAAAAACGTTAGAGTCGTCATCATCTTCATGATCATCGTCGTCCTCATCATCACCATCGTCTTCATCATCGTCATCATCATCATCACCATCGTCATCATCTTCGTCATCATCATCATCAGACGGCCATCACAATCATGACGTCACTGATGAAGAACGTTCATGATGATGATGGCGACGGCGGGGCAGGGGGTGGGATAAGGTGCATCGTGATTGGCTGCGAAGATGGCCACGTCTACGTCATCAACCCGGAAACCTTTTCCGTTGCCGCTACGGTTGTTATTATCACTATTATTATTGTTGTTATTATTATTATTATTCCTGATTTTCTTTTTTATTCAACTTTCAGTGATGTCAACATGTTAACACCAAAAACTTCCACTCATCCATCAAACGCATTGAACGTAGCAGGCGTTCGAACCCGGGAACAGTGCAATAGCTTGACCGGGCGCTCTAACCATTACGCCATCTCTTCCTAACATTCGTTTAAATGAGTTATTATCCACAATTTCAGTACAGCCTACCATCTGTGGCTGTTTTCATGGTCGCGAATGGCTTGTTCGATGTAGAATACTCTATATACACCGCATGTAGAAATGGCGGGGTCTATGGGATAAAAAGGTTGGATTGTTGTTGGGATCTATGGGAATGGGAGTCTGTGGGATTGAAAGGTTGGATTGTTGTTGTTGTTGTTTGGATCTATGTGAGTGGGAGTTTGTGGGATTAAAAGGTTGGATTGTTGTTGTTGTTGTTGGGATCTATAGGAATGGGAGTTTGTGGAATTGAAAGCTTGGATTGTTGTTGTTGTTGGGATTTGTGATATTGAAAGGTTGAATTGTTGTTAGGATTTAGTGGATAATAATGTTCGGTTTAATGGGATTAATAGGTTGAATTGTTGTTGTTCGTTGTTGTTGATGATGTCATCATCATCATCTTCATCATTATCATCATTGTCAACGTCATCGTCATCATCACTACCACCAACGTCGTCATCATCGTCATCACTTTCGTGAAGGAACATAGAAAAAGCACGCGAATTCTTCCGCGTCACCTACCCCATAGTCGGTCTGGTGAAGGTCGGTAAAAATCTGGTCGTCGGTTGTATGGACGGCACGATACATTGCTACAATACTAAGGTGACGACTATAATACTAATAGTAATAGTAATATATTGGGAACAATTTTTTATTCAGCAAGTCATATAATAGGCAGTCAAATAATAGGCAGTACAAATAAAATAAAATAAAATAATGAAATAAAATAAAATGTCAAATGCAGTAAATAGAGTATTAATCTGAAAAGCTCATCATTCGAATCGAGAGAGCACGCGCGACCGGAGTTAATTAGTTTAAAAATTGATTCATTTCACATTTCTGTCGCAATAGATAGCGTACGACGATGATATAGCAGAGTTTATGAGGTTATTGCAAAATTAATCAGTCCAAATAATAATAATAATAATGATAATAATAATAATAATAATGATAATAATAATAATAATGATTTGAAAAAATTCAACAACATGAGCCAACATGTTTCCAAGAAACATTTGAAGCATCATTCGTTTTGACACTCTCGAGTGAGGCTTGCGCTTCTAAGTCATTCAATAGGGGCTCTCCACAAATCCTTAGATACAGATACAGAAACAGATTGTGATAATAATAATAATAATAATAATAATAATGATTGTGATTATGATAATAATAACAAAAATAATAACATCCAGGGCAACTGCCTGTGGTCGGTTAACTGTCACGGCGACATACTGTGTGTGGGGCTGATGGAGCTCAAGACGAAAAACCTGCAGCTACTACTGGTCTCAGTCAAATCACACCAACAACAACAATCATCATCACCACTGCCACCACCACCATCATCATCATCATCGTTGCCGCCATCTACTTCCGGTCAAATCCAAATATATCTTGAAAAATCTCTAGTGGATGTTATAAGAGTAGAAGAAGTGGTGGCAGCCATGAAATTCGGCAGGTACGGGCGTGAGTCAGATACCCTAGTTATGGTCACAAAGTCCGGCGGTCTCATGGTCAAAGTCCTGAAAAGGACGGCCCTATTTGATAGTCGGGGGGTGTCCAAATCTGGAGACGGTGTTGGCTTCGATTTAGCCGGGGGAGGTGAGTCTAGGATAGATATTCCGAAAAAAACGAAATTATTTCTCGATCAGACAGCTAGGGAAAGGGTTTGCGCTGTCGGTAAGTCGGTTTGCTGTCTTTGTTGTTTATTTCCCTTTGTTACTTTTTTTCTTCTTCTTCCTCCTCTTCCTCTTTTTCTCTTCCTCTTAACATTTGTTATCGTGATCATTACCAAGAGATGCACAAGACATTCCAACAGGATCTCTGTCGACTTAGATTGCACTCTTGCAAGTGCTACCTGGATATGTTGGACAAACAACTGAACGTTGTGTCCCTATCCCAAGAGTATCCGGTTAAACTGAACGTCGAAGTATGTTTGGTGTGTTTGTTTATTCAATTTTTTGTTCTCTCATTCATTCATTCATTCGTTCGTTCGTTCGTTCGTTCGTTCATTCGTTCGTTTGTTTGTTCATTCGTTCATTTGTTTGTTCTTTCGTTTGTTCATTCATATATA